GCATGTTTGTTGTTTTTGTTAGCATGTTTTTGGCGGTCTGACCCTGTCAATCAGCAACAGGTTGTGGTGAGTCTTAATTCCTGGTAAAGCTGGACCTGATTTTCAAGTCTAATCTTATAAGCTGAGAAGAACAATAACATCATGGTGACAGGGCCAGTCATCCACTTGTCTCTACTAAAGTGTCAGGTTCAAACTCCTCCAAAGGAAAAGTTTAAATCTGACAAGTCAGCTGACAATTTAATTTTTAAAATGATGGATTAAAAAGTTAGGAGTCAGACAAAAAAAAACAAGAAAACTACTCTATACATGCCCTATAACATCTTTGTATTATGATTAATCACAATGTATGGCCTACTGCACTATGCTTGACAATAAAACAGTCTGCTACATAGTCTCGCTTGTACAGGAGCATGTTTCTGGCAAGGCATTGAATCCCACATATTACAGTAATGTGAACAAACAACCATTACAGTGACATATTACCGTTACACAATGCACTACATAAAGCACAAGAATCTACAGTAATTCTTTTTACTTTACACTGCATACTGAATGTCCAACGTTAAATGACTCCTCCCAAGTAAAAGTAAACATTCAAGGACTGACTGTTTAAAGGCATTGCCTCTCCAGAGCTGCTGTGCTGCCTGACAGCCAGTGAAGATTAGACCAAAAGTGTCTCTTCAAAACACTGAAACGGCACTCAGTGATTAGCACAGAACCGCCAGGCTGCCTCACATAATAAAAACCTTCAACTGTACAGGCTCAGGGTTGCATAAAACAAGAGGGGTGGCTGTACTCATAAAAGGGAAGGCAAAGGACAATCAGTCTCTTAAGAGAGTGATAGTGCAGAGAAGGGCATTTGTACTCCAGATCCATCACTGTGAATCAGTATCGCACTGGTCATCGTGTCTGAAGACTCATTCGTTTCACATTTAAGGAAATAAAGTTTCATGCCTGTTATCAGTCAGCCTTTCTTTCTGTTTTCCTATACAGTGAAGGAAACAAAATGTTGCACACGGTTTTGTTCTAAAATACAGTTTAAAACATCCTGAAAGTCACCACTTAGGTTCACTGCTCAAGAACACCCACTTTTTCTTTGCCAGTACATCACTGCACACTTTATAGCAATAAAAATAATCAAATTTCCTTTTTAAACACAATCTAATCCTTTTCTTGTAATGGCTGTCTTTGCACCAGCCTTGTCCAGTTGGATCTGCAAGAATCCACTAAGTAACTTTTAATCAGGGCATAATTACTCTACATCAGATTGCGTGTCTGCAGGTGTAGTTCTGGATTCACCTCATCAATATTTGACATTTTGTAATGCCCACTGTCTGAGCACCCAGGGAACTTGATTTACCAAATTATCCATAATGATATGCAGGAGCCATTTTCAGTTAGTGTCATTTATGTTTACACTTCCAACCACCAGGGGGTGAATCTTTATTTTGGATGATTGTAGAATGTATTTAAGGAAAGCAGGGTTGATTTGCCTCACTGGAAGGAGGCAATTAGTTTTTAACCATGCCCTAGGTTTTTAGCTTTGCTTAAATGCTTGTGCCTTTTGTGAGGTTTGTCAACAGTGGCAGTTATGGAAGATCAGCAAATGTTGAGCTGCATAATAAATGTGGAACTTTGATGACAAACTGGGGATTTTCTTTTAAAAGCATGCATTGCAACAAACCTCATAGCAGCAGATCATAAGCTTTTTAAGTAAAGCAAATAGTCACTAAATGATAAGACTCACAAATTCACCTGTACATGTGCACTGAGCCGTGACAGACAAAAACTCAATGACCCTCCTTCAAATGTGCAAAAGCTGTGCTAGTAAAGCACTTGTATCTTTATCACTTAAACCCATGTTTTTTTTTAAGAATGTAGATTAAAAGCTGCTGAGAAGCTGATAGTCGTGCTGTTTTTTAAATCTTTCCTGTTATCTCATCACTCAGTTCTTTTTTCCCTGTCAAACCCATGAGCTCAACCATTCTCCTTGAGTGTATGTGTCACTGAGCAAGTGTTACCATTTTTTATGCTATAGCTTATATATGCTGCGTCTTCTCTGTTTGGGATGAGAATATCTTGGGCATCATGTATGTTTGAATCATATACTAGACAAGTCATCGCGACAGGCGCAAGAACTCCGACGTGTTTTCGGGCTGCAACGTGTCAACATGCTAATCTGGGTGCTGAAGTTGTTGCTGCTGCCAATAGATGGGTGTTGGTATTTGGTGTCAGAGCCCATGTACCTCTGCAGATGCCACCTTCGCCACTTCCTCTTGATCTCTCCTTGGACCTACAATGGATTGGAACAAAGACAAAGTCTTTGTAACACTTTTTAATACATGGATTTGTTGTATATAGGAACCAGGTATCAACAAAATGGAAGAATTTAGAAATTTGCAAAATGAGGAGAAATATACAGTATTAAGGCTCACAATTATACTGTAGTCCTGGTTTTTAAACTGCACATTATTAAATTATACAGGCTCAGTAGGTCATTTTAGTAATTTATCCATGATACTAACAGTTCACCTCCCTATTAAAGAAAAGTATTTTTGAAAATACTGAGAAACAAAACTGTCTGGGAAAAATGGTATTAGCTACTCATTATTCTGAACCAGTACAGAATGTTATGGTACAATATATTTTACATTGTGATATGTTACCAAAACTATTTGTGTACAGTAAGGCAACAAAAAAGGCTTTGGGAAAATCTCCCAAGACTCTGGTGCAGGGATTACTGAAAAACATTACAAGTGTATGTTATATTCTGAAATTCCTTACTGTACTTTATCCATTACTGGTAATTTAAATCCATAAAGTCTGTTGTATATTGTACATTACCTTGCATATCTTGCTGTAAATATCAATTGTACATATCTACTGGTAAATTAGTACTGTCTGTACATACTGCGCACTGTGCACTGCTGTTATTGCACTTCTGGTTAGGTGCTAAACTATTTCGTTGACTTGTACATGTGTAATGACAAAGTTGAATCTAAACTAAAAATACTCACCAGTAGAGTAGTGACATTTTGTTTTGTGGTAGGATACTCAAAGAAAAAGGGTGTAAATCTTTGAATGAGGGACTTAATAATGGTAATTTATGGAGTATACCAGCGTGTTCATTAGAGATGTCCTGAGCCAAGTCGGGTCCATGCAGGCACATTTTAACGGCTCAGAATACCAACAGCTTATGTAGGTACCCAGTATGTAAAAATACTCCTCAAGTCAAGTCAAAGTGTTTGTCATGTAAGGAAACACGTTTCCCTGTACGTACAATGAAATTCTTATTTTGCTGTCCACAATGAATGCCAAACAATACAAAGGGAAAGAAAGTAGATAAATAGTAACACAATCTAAGGGAACTTTAAAAACAGCAAGTGAAAAGAAATAAAACCATAATTGTCTAGTTGTTAATGCTTTGTTCCCCATACTCTGGTTTCTTTCACTGGTGTAGCCTACTTACAAGTAGGCTATTATATTGATAATTCATATAATAAAATTATAGTTTAAATCACAAACTATTAAATAAGTTAGGTTTGTGTAGTTTTCTGAAATATTTTAATTGACTGTTCATTAGCAATCAAAGCTGAAAAGATAAAGGTTAGAAAATAAATATGAAAACTATCCAAAGAAAATAGAAAGATTCCCTACTCAGGGGATGAATATTAAAAACAAGCTCCTGCACAAAGATGACTTTTCGTTCATACCACTTTAGAGGCAGGGAAACAAAGTAGAAAGTAAAGGGACCTTCCGTGACATGAAAGCAGAGGAAGCATCAGAAGAACTGACAACGTGTGAAGCAGAATTTTCTGTCAAGTCACTTTGTTGGATGTTTGTCTAAATAGAATTGCACAACTTCAAATCTACACCAATTTCAAAAGCTTTGCATGGGATCTTTTTCATATTCAAGTCACATTCTTGTACATTTCACAAACAGAAAGGGGACTCCACCAAATACGTATTACACTTCCATAATATTTAGGGACACAAAAAAGATGTATTAAGTGGTCATTCCTTTTCTTAGAATAATATTTTGTTCATATTTCACACGTTTTGTTGTGACTTGATATGCTTCTAATGCACTACACCGTCAAGACCTAGCACTTAAAGGATACCTGAAAATTGTACCTATAATTTAAAATTCAGGCAGCATAGTGACAAGCCTCACCATCCAACCCATCACTGTGATTCAATCTGGCTCAGCACTGGGAACATAACTAATCTGCCCACAAAGAGTCTCTGCAGACATCACTGAACAGCTCCCTGCCAAAAAGGCTGTGCCTTTTACAGCCCCCCACCCCCCAGGCAGAAAATATGCCGCAAGGAGGTCCAAGGGAAGAGAGAAGGCTGGAGCACCCAGCGCTGGTGACTCATACTCTCAGCTCCATCCACCTTTCAGGACTGTGTGTGAATGTAAATGATGCACTGAGGGAGCCACAGAGGCACTACTGATAAACTACATTTTCTGAGAATCACTGCGGCACTGTGGTCCATCTTTCCCTGGAAATCTTAAGGTTGAAACACTGTGTAAATACAATATACAAGTGTTTACATCACTATGAGAACCCACCTCTCCATTCAGGAAGCAATAAAGGACTGCGACCACAAAGCCCTAAACAGAAAAAAGAGATGAGAAAATGTGTCATGGCAAATTTTCCAGTTAAATTTGCTTATTTTGTCTTTACAACTATTTGCCAAATCAAAAAATTATATGTGTGGCATTCATTAGACAAATTGGCTCACACCGACAAAAACATTGCATATTGTGCAATGGCTAGTTTATAGTGATAATGAGAAGGAGGAAGAAAAAGAATGACGGAGGAATGTGCTGGAAATGTTTCCTTGGTTTCAAGGCAGTCTGTAATGCAGCTGTGCTGTCTGGCTGCATTCTCCATCATTCTTCATTATGTGATGAACTGAAATAACACTTGGGGCTTAAAACCGTAACATTGCCATGAATCAGCCTGCAAAGCAGCTGATGACCTGCCACAGTTTCTGGGAAGGATTCTTCAGTAGACACACTCAAGTAACAGAATGCCGAATTACTACTTTGGACTTTGATCTAAGGTATTTAATTCAAATAAAAAGATTCAAAATGATTTGAAAACTGTAAAATTCCCTTTTTATAATTACTTGCTGCTAAAAAGTTGATACCATACCTGAAATGACCCCAGAATCAAGTCAAAAACTAGCCGCAGCTCAGTCTTGACTTGCTCTGGGATGAATGCAAACACAATGAAATTGATCCCAAACAGAGGAATCAAAAGCAGCGTTGATTTCGCCAGTCTCCTGAAATGACAAAGTAAAAACCAGATTGAAATACATCCACCCAGTGAAACTGATTTTCAGTCTGTCTCTTCATATGCCAATAATGAAATGCAACTCCAGAGTACTTTTCATTTTACATTTCAGCTCAGAGGACCAGAGGATGGAAAAATGCACCATTAAAAGTGTCAGTGGGAAAATAGCGCATGCATTATGGGTAGGTTATGAGATGCTCTCCATCACAGGAAAAAAATCATTTAAACACATAGCACTATGTCTGTGTAAAGCAGCTGCCAGGGGGTGAAAACAGTATACCGAGCATCATATGCTGAGGTTCCAAGAGGATTTGTCATCCCTGATCAGAAGACTAACTCACACTTAAAGAAACAGAAAAAAATTAATTTACAGCATCATTTGTGCCTACAATATTAAGATTTGCATTATTTTATTTCCACTTTCTTTGCTTATTTGAAAAATTATTTGTTTATACAGTTAACAGACTGAGCATAGAAACTGTAGCAAACTCCCCAACATCCTCTGAATGATTGAAAACATTTCATTTATTTTAGCTAAGGAATATTACAAATGAACAGTGTTAAAAAAAAAGTGTAAAATTGTACTCACAAGTACTGGTTGGACTCATTTCTTCCAATATCAGGGCAATTGATCTTCTGGCGTAGTATTCGAATGATGCAAATGAAGAGAATAAAGTTCATCTGTGGAGAAAATACGAGTGTAGTGAGAGGACAGCATAGTGTATATGTAGTGTACAAAAGTAAATGTGGTATTGTGCTGGTGGTTCATGAAATATGCATCAGAAAACTGTTTTTCCTATATAGATAAAACTTGCTCTCAGGAAAATTACTACTTCTCCTGTAGACATTTTCAGTGTGTTATCTAATGGAGAAATGTTTGAGAAATAGGAGCTGGCTGAATTTAATCTCACAATGATTGGATCGTGCTGGTGCCCTGTGGGAACACAAACATTTCTAAATTGTTAATTTGGGCTGTTCCTCTGAACCACTGACATCACACGCATTATGATGCACTCAAACATCACTCAGCTTCTGCAGACAGACAGAAGGATCTCATGCCCAGGCTTCTGATCCTAATTAGACTCAAGACAACTGAAAAGCAGATAGACATCAGCAAGCATCAGTAAAGGATGAGAATTTGATGTTAAAGACTTTACTTTCTGCACACCATACTATCTTTTTTTTTCAAACTGGGTGGTGCAAACACTGAATATCAGGTAGTCATTTGATGCTTTGGGAAATACATTCTACTCTTTACTGAGCTTTAGAGTAAACGACTGATAGCTGTGAAGGCATGTCAGAAATCTCTTCACTTCCCAGAATGTCTTCCCTCCTGTGTTCTAAAACTAAAACTGTTCATTACATTGTGTAGCCATACAAGTACAGACAGACACACACACACACACACACACAAACAGCTCACAGATAAATTGAACCACTGGTTGTGGTATTAATCTTAAGTCACACAGGAGAGTGAGCTATATTTCCCATGATGTCAAACCTTAGTAGCTCAATATTTTCTTTCCTTTTGAGAGTGAGGTGCAGACCAGTGCGGGTTTCAAAGAGTCCATCAGCCTCAAAACCTGTCACACAGCTCTTCTCATATTTCAAACTTTTATCCAAGAAATGTTATCAGGCCTTCATCGGGGTGGTGTCCTACAGTCGTGTCCAGCCTCCTCATATACAATCATCAAATCAGTTTCTGGATCATTATTTTTACAAACATTAATCCAGTCATTACAATTATATGTGTACATCATATAAATCCATTATAAGTACAATGTATACTGTTCCTTATTTAGAAAAATATTTCCTCTAAAATGTCCTTACATTTTAAAAGTATAAAAATTACAATTTGATTCACAGGTAACAAAACTATTGGCAAACAAGGTGAAATGTAAGGTTCAAGGACTTTATTGCCAATTCACCATATGTGCAGGACATACAGAAAATCGAAATACCATTTCTCTCTCACCGAATATTGGGTGCCATAACATTTAGGAACTAAAGTAGAATAGACTAATAGACTAAGAACCGGATTGACGTAATTAGGAATCTAAACGGTACAGCCACTAAGCTGGGACTCAAAACCATGTACAGTCAGTGACAGTAGTGCAAACAACAGGAGATTGTCAGATGGTTCAGCATCATCAGGACGTTGGTGATGAGGTAAACAGCGGTCATTTTTTTTTCTTGTACATTTATACTTTAGAAATGAAAGGACATTTTAAATAAAATATTTCTCTAAATAAGAGAAAGATTGTAATGTTTAATAATCATACTGATTGATTTATAAGCTGTACACCGATAAATAGTTTCCTTTAAACTTTGTAACAGGAATTAATAACTTGTTTTTGAAAGAATGATCCAAATGCATAGCATCTAGTCTGACAGACTGATCACATGATTCTATATAAAGAAGCTGGACACAGCCTTGTGATACCACCCTGATGAAGATCTGATGAAACTGTGTGAATAAAACCTTAGCAGCTTACCAACAGGCAGTCAGCTTTGCTTAACACAGTAAAGAGGAGAAGCAGCTTTCCTGGTTCATACACTCTCCCATGGTACCAATATTACCTCTAAAGGTCATTGAGCAGAGTACTTTGTTTAATCCAGATACAAGCAGTAAAGGTTTATGTGCTATTTCTTGGCAAACAAAGGTCAAGTTTTCCCCTCTGTCATTATGTTAAACTCAACTAATAAGAAGAAAATGCTATCGATCTTCTTATACAACTATCTGTTCTACAAAAAAAAAAAAAAAAGCGCAGACCTATCAGCATCTGTTTAGCCTCTCTGCATGTATCTGCCAACAGACAGATGCTGATACTGTGTTCAGAATGCAAATGAAAAAAAAAATCAGCCACGGTGAGGTTGCAAAATAAAGTAGATGATAGTCAGTCAAGAAAAACTATTTGCTGGAGAATACCCTGCCACCTCTGCAAAGTGAAACGTCAACTCTGAGGTCATACAACATCAGTTGTGTTGACATACAGTACATAAAGATGTACTGTATGATGATTGAGGTCAAAAGTACTCCCCTTCACCACACTAAAAGTCTGATGTGGACTGATAACTGACACTTTTTCTTAAATTAGTTTAATAAGTATTTTAGTTTTTGTTAAATCTTAAGAGCTCAAGATGCAGAAATGATGTAATGAAGTGTGTGGGTTTGTAAACCTACCAGGATTGATGCCAAAATGGGGGCTTTAATGATCCACCAGAACACATCAGTGTTCTCAATTATATCCCAGCACCTGGAAAAACATTACAAATATTCATGTGCAAGGTGTAGATTTTATACCGAGTTTAAACTGGGTTTTATACTGGTTATGCTGGGTCCTGGTCTAGCAAGATCCTGATAATTTCCTTACCCCACATCATTAAAATAGGCTTTAGCAAAGCTCCAGGCTGTGATGAAAATTATTGGACCTCCTGGCAACATAAAAAATGATATGAAAGTGTACACCCAAGTTATTTTTTGTCTTCCGTCATTAAGGGTCACAAGGTGTAATTCATCTTTAGCCGACATTCAGAGACAGACACCAGGAGAGCAGCTAACAGCACCAAAAGGAAGACGCTCTCACCCCAGCCAATCAGAATGTAAGCCCAGAAGTACTTCCTCTCAGAAAAGAAAGAGACAGCCAATAACGCGTGAAGATAAAGGCCTTCCACCAGCAGCCAGAAGAAGCTGGCCATTATACAGTACTGGAAGAACACAATCACTGCTTTGCAGCCAACCTGGACACAAAACACAAAGATAAATCACACAATGATCTTCTCTCTGTTCAGTGTCTGATCACTTGTAGATTGTAAATAAGATGTTGCAGTCACTCAATACTATCACTGGCATAGAGGCATAATAAGACTAATGCACACAACAAAATATAAAATATAGAAGAATAAAAAATTAAATATACAAGATGAAATGAAACATTTAAATATACATTGTAAATGCAATAACATAAATGGGATAAATAACAGCTATAAAATATTCAGATGAAAAGTCAAACTAAAGAGGCAGATTTTAAGTTTGGTTTAAAACATCAGCACTTTGAGCTGCTCAACTGCTGCAGTGGCTCAGACTTGAACTAAAAGCTGCCACACCAAAAGTTTTTCTCCTGCACTTTGGAACAACAAAAAGACTGAAAGATGTTTGATTTTACAATGTGAGACAAAAGAAACCAGACTTTTGAAAATTATCAAGGTATCTTTTAATATTCATGCAAAAGGCCATCCTGGTTTATACACTGGAAGCATGTCAAAGAGGTTGGTACAGGACCATGATGTACTTTAAAAACCAATTTTAAAATAAATACAGAAACCTACAGGCAACCAAGGTAAAGAATTTAAAACAGCTGTAATGTGCTCTCTCCTTCTGATCCTGGTCAGCACTCGGCAGAGTTTTGAAACAAGTGCAACTGATTTCCAACTTTTATGGGTAGATCAAAGAGGAGAACACTCAGCTGTCCAGTCTGCTTTAGTCTGTGTCACTCAGAAAGAGAAATGGCGGCACTGCACTGATATTTGTGATGATAATGTAGATTTGGAGACAAACTCCACATAAACCTTAAAGTACAAGGTTTAAGGCCTGTTGGTTTGGGGTCAGTCCTAGAGAATTTACGTTTGTGGCCTCTGTCTTTTTCTCTCTCTCTGCCCTCGAACCTATAATTAAAACTTCTTTCTTATCCTTAGTGTATTTTCATTCTTTATAGGGTCAAAAAGTTGTTAGAAATAAAGTCTCGGTCCTCAAAAAACATTTGAAGTGGTGAGGACTGACTAAAATCTTATCACTTCCCAAAAATGTCCTCATTCTGTTGGTTAAAAACTTTTCATGGTCCTCACTATGTAGCAAGTACAACACACAGAGTGACAGTAAAACTGAGCTAACAGTTGTAATGGAAGGTATGCTGGGGTCATGATGAGCCCTCTACCACCAAACCTGTCCCTATAATGTCTTTTTCAGCCACCCAAAGACAGCAGATGGCCCCTGTCAACCCAGCAGTTCCATTAACACACTGCACTCTGAAGCTCCTCTTGTCATGTGGCCACATTATGCAACATAAACCTCATGTAAGCAGCCCTAACTGTGGCCTCAGTGGTATGTGGTGGGCTGGTGATAGCAGGAAGACGTCCAAGCATTGTGGCTCGATGAAAGTCCAAGCCTCTTATTACTTAAGAGTAGCCGTGAGCCTTGAAATGAACATCTTTGACTACTGTGTGATGTTATTTTAGTTGTTTAGCAATAAAGCAGTAACGTTTGTTATTTTGGTAGTAAAGAGGTAAAAACAAACTTAAATCAAAACATCTAAGGATGCCAGTCAGGTACACACATTGCAAGTGGATTCAAAATATTCACATCATGTTTCTGTGGTCAACAGGGCAGACCTCTGAGGAAGCACAGAGATCATCTGGCTATTGGACTTTATTTACATGATCAATATCCATTCAAGAATTACTAAAAGAGTTTGACTAAGGTTTAAGAACACCAGGAATCCCAACACCCACAGCAAACAGACATAGTTAGGCCGTTAACTCACCGAGCCTAGGGAGCAGCTGTCCACCTCCCCTACTTCGTAGAGGACCACATCCTTGATGAACACAGCAATGGCCTTTAGGATAAATGACACAAATAGATGCATGTGGATGTAGTTCCTTGTGCAGTGGAGCTTCCTAGGACACAGAGAGAATACAGATCAGAACAAAGAGACGGCACACACCTAAATTTGATAAAGAGGGTCTTCGTGCTTATTATCCAGTGCCACTGGATTAACAACTTAAAATGGCAACAAATCACAAACTGAATTAACTCATAATTAAGCTCCTGTGGCTGCTTTGGAGCACATTGAACACTTTTCATATGCCAGACAGAAGAGCTATACTTTATTTCACAATGGCTAATCAAACATTTGAAAGCATCCATTTCTGAGTATAAGGCAGAAAGATGGGTGATTGTATCCAGGCTCCCATTAGTCTATTTGTTTATGCTGACAGTGCTTGTTCCCAGGGCAGGGACATGTTTAGCTGTGATGCGCCATGTGCTCAATCGCTGAACGGCCCCTTGGAAATAATTGAAGTTTCATCTGTCATAGCCAGGAGAGCTTGTTAACATTATGTCAGTCATCCAAAGTTCATCCTCGATGCAAGCTAATAATTTATTACATTCTTGTTTTCAGCTGGAGCAAAAAACTGTTCTTCTGCTTACCTGAAGATGCAGAGAATCACAATGGCCATTGTGAGAGAGATTAGGGAAACACTGTGACCAATAGTATAGCCAATCTTCACTTGCAAGAAAAACTTTCCCTGCAGACAAGAAAACTGCATCAGTACAAGTCATCTACTACCAGATTTGACTGACACAGATCCCAGTGCCTTTGTTATACTATTGTGTTAGTATAACTAGGGAAACTATTGTTACAATAAGGTAATGTTATACTCAGTGTGACAGCTCAGTGATATAGTCTTGGTGTGTAATTTTTTAGGAGTTTAATCAAAAATAACTTTTAAAAATGAAAAAGTTTCAGCCTAGTTGCATTAAACTTAAATGTCATTTGGTTTTGTTTCATATCACTGTGAATCAAGGCTATTGAATTCTGTGCTCTGTCAATCTCACTCATAACCAGAGGAGGAGAGGAGCTGGTTCATTTAAGTATAGCCAAGCTTTATATGGAAAACTACCTAAATGGTACAGAAATGATCACAAGCTGCTCAAAATCACTTTAAAGAAGACTTTTAAAGGAGACACCCTTAAAGTGTTAGCTGTATCTGCTGATGAAAATTTTGTGGTATGATTAAAATATCCACAACTATGCCGTTATGTTTGTGCCTCATTCCTGAGTGCACAACGGGACATATGAGAATTTTATGCAAAAAATAATTTAGTTTGAGCAAACAAATTTAATCTGTGCACAAAGATGTATTTGCATCTTTGCCATTATCTATATAAAAGCATGCTAACCCCTGTGTTCAGCATTTCTCCTTTGCTCTCTAATTGCTGCTCTTTGTGCATGTGTAGCCCTGCACTGTTGTAACATCTCAGTTTGTGTACACTCAGCTTCACCTCTATGCAGTTTCAAATGTTCCACAAAAACAGCCCATCAGAGACCAGAGAACTCTGATTCATATCAAAGCAACATTTCCAGAAGAAGATAATTGAGGCGTTTCTCAATGCTGCCCAATGAAACATGTGCTTAGTTTGTATTCAACTTAATCTTCAGATGAACTAGCAGCAGCAAATATATGTAAATTCTGACACCAGATTTCACCAGCGGTGAATTAAAGACCAAGTTAAGATTGTTCTCACTGGGATTATGATAGATGTTGACCAGCTGGTCTCGTGTGGGACATGGCCAGGGCTGCCTCCTTCTTATTCTCCATGAAATCAAATAAATGTAATGTACAGTGGTGGAAGGTAACCAAGCACTGTACTTAAGTACAATTTTGAGGTAATTGTACTTTGAGTATTTTCAATTTGTGATCCTCATACTTCTACTTTACTACACTTTAAAGACAAATATTGTACTTTTTACTCCACTACATTTATTTTAGAACTTTAGTTACTAGTTACATTTCAGAAACTGTCACATTTCAGGCAAGGAAGGACCCAAAATACAGAGACAGTCTAGAGTCTAGTGTTTATCCAGTTTAATATAAATGAAGAGGAACAAAGGGGTAAACAGATGCTCAACCTGACAGGACTTCACTATACAGGTACAAAACTAATATCTAAACAGAACATCAGGAAGCTACATGAAACGAACTCTAAATAACTAAAACAAGCCCGGAGAACTAACCAAGAATCTTTCAGACAAGAAGAACTCAAAGGTAGTAATGGCCCTATGACACCCAAGGCTCCGACACATGCGTGGTAGCTCATAAAGCAATTGTTTCGAACCACTGTGCCTAGGCGTGTTTCGGTCATGTGACTAGTGACGTTTGAATCACTTGAGTGATGTCTGAAGCAGTTGGGTTCGTCGGACGTCAGGTGAATCAGCTGAGTGGTTCAGTTTGTTACGTGAATCCCTTTGGATCGAGTGTGTTCAGAGATAGGCTATCCCTATTTAGTGGCCTTCATTTGAATCTGTCTTTGCAGAGTAGGTTGGTTTGTTGCTTTGAGAGTTAGTAGTGTTGTAGCAGATTGTGTATTTAGTGGAGAATCAGTGTAGATAGAGAGACAGATCAATAGATAGATAGTAAGTTACATAAAGAAATAGATAAAATAGTTACATAGTTAGATAAGACTAGATAGATATTGTTACATAGATAGTCCTAAATAACGTTAGATATAGATAAAATATAGATATATTACATATATAGATAAGATATATATAGATATATTGCATATATAGTTACCCAAACCTCTATGAATTATCCAAACATTTCCTGTGTACCCCAGCCTCATCTGTGCCATGTGAACGGGTTTTTTCTAAGGCTGGGGAAATAGTCTGTAAAAGGAGAAACCGCTTGTGTCTGAAAACTGTGGATATACTGTTATTTCTCAATAAAAACTCAAACAGTTACACAAGCACACACCACCGCCCTGTTCTTCAACCACACCCTCTTTACCCACATACCCATGAACCTCTTTACCAATGAACCTCAAAACAAACTTTGCCAAAGTCCATACTGTAATCTGTGTTTGCACCAGTCCCATGGGAAAATGACATCTGTCTGAATTTGTAGACCACATCTCATGAATGTAGTAGCACCATTTAAATGTTTCATAACACAAAATATAAGTGAGGAGTATCTTGGGTTACACTCAAACATGCCACATAAGAAACATGGTCTTCAACATGCGTTGATGTTTATTTTATATTTTATTGTGTCAGCTTGAAACCATTCAACCATGTAGTGTAGTCGAACAGGAATGTGCATGATGAATCAAATCCCAAACAATCCATGAACCAATAAGTGACACGTCTTGACTGTACTTCACTTTCTTGACCACTAGATGTCCTACTGGAGCACTGTGTCATTGAGGCCTCGAGTAATGAACCATTTGTGTGAACACTGTGTCGAAGCTTCAACTTAAGCCTCATCGGCCATCACTACTCAAAGGAACAGTCCAAATGTAACCAAGGCAACTGATACAAAAACTTACAAAGCGGAGAGGCAGGGTGTGGTACGCAGAGAGACGGATGATGAGGCCATGAGGCATGGAGAACGGAAGGGAGGACGATATATAGACAGGAGACCAGGAGGTTAATAGGTGACAGGTGGAGACAATGAATGGTGAATAGGAACCGGGGTAAAGCTGGGGCAGAAGAGGTGATACAGGACAGGAAGTCTAACCAAAATAAAAGCACAAAACAGGAAGCAAGTCCACAGACCACAACAGAATCAGATTAATAAGGATAATATAGCATGTTCATAATTTATTGATCTCTGGGGAGAAAATGAATTGCTGGGTAACATCGCTACCCAGCGATGCTTCATATTATAAGCATAATAAGCTAGTTAAAACTAGCTCCTCCTTTACTAGCTGCAACATTAAATGTGACAATAATACATTATAGTCTGATGATACATTAATGCTAAATATGCCATTCTGCATAATGAGTACTTTTGGTACTTCAAGTATATTTTGATGCTTTTACTTAATTTGAATGCAGTAATTTTACTTGCAGAATATTTTTACACTGTGGTATTGCTATACTTTTACTTAAGCAAAGGATCCGAATACTTCTTTCACCACTGGTAGTGTAAAATAATTGTAATCGGACAGTAGGCCAATTCCACTGCTATGCCCAACAGTGGACACAGTTCACTATCACACTCCTGAACCACAGTATTTACCTTACTGATAAGAACCAGTACAGTTAGATCTACTGTTGTATAGGCTAATGGCTGTCATATACCATAAAAGCATACTGGATTTTAGAAAGTACTGGCTTCAGTACATGGACATTCACAATGTTACTGCCACAGCACCATATATATATGCTTGATGAAAATGAGATCAAGGGCTTTGCATCCTGTGGATGCAGAAACACAAATTCCTTTTTAGATTGTGTCAGCAGCCAGGTCCCTCCTGACTTCCTATGCAGCATACTAATGACTGAGCACCCAACAAGAAAGCTTTTACCACCCTACGCTGCACCTCCGCTTTTTATCCTGCTCTACCTTTGTCAACAGAGACAATATTAGTTCTAGACTAAAACTAAATAATATTATCATTTGATGTATTTATTCCCTTCCTACACTTGAAGGCAACATGAATAACCTCTAATATGACTCATAAAACCTCATTACAGAAGCAGGAATTACTAAGTGACCCGGCCTTGTCGATGAGAATCAAGTGTGTTGTGCTTCAGATGCATTCAGAGAAAGATGGAGGTTGATTTTCCTCTATATTAATTTTCATGCATTCTTGTAGCGAGTATTTTGCTTTTGAGGTCATGAAGGTTTAGATATTAATAAAATATTTCACTCTTTTTGAAATTTGCATATGATATGCCTGTAAATGAGAAAGGAGACAAAACCTGTAACAACAAATAGCATCTGTCAGTGCAGACATGTCCATGGTAGGAGGGTTTACAGTACACAGAAAAGAAATGTGATGTATGGGTAGGATTGAGGGTCAGAGAGAGACAACCTGTCTGACAGAGGGGGGAGGCTGAGTAATGTTATCTCCACTGGACAGACAGTTTTAATAATATTTTGAATCACACATTGCTTTTCTCTGTTGTTGAGATTGACAGCCACTGAAATTTGTCTCCCTCTTAAAACTTTTAATAAACTACCTGGCAGCCTTGTAAATCCCTTTGTTTGGATAGATGCTGCCTAGCAAAGCAAACAGAATTTTGAGTTCTTTGAACAACAAAAGCTAAAATAAATGTGAAAAAATAATTAAAATTTTTTACAGTGTCCCTGACCTTCTTCCATAGTATTATCTTAACATAGTACACATTTAGATCCAGTGGGCCTTTCATCTCGTGAGAAATCAATGTCAGTCTGCCCAAAAAAGTCTGCACAAGAAGTTGAAAAATGTTGCTTCCCTTCCCAAAATGTTCCCTCAGCTATGAGGGAAGCTAGTGCCCAGCCAACAGGCAATAAGCAGAGCCTTGCATTGAGCAGGGGAAAACAAACAAAACACTTTACAACCATCATCTCCAAAGCTTAGTAATCAACATAATACTAATACTTTGCTTAATTCCTACACAAACATGTTACATGCAATAACTTTCTCTTAATGAACAGGCAGCCTGTGAAGATACTGCAAAGACATAGGTTACATATTGCAACTCCCACTAAAAGTGCAAACTGTAATTTTTACATTTATGTTTGTGTACAAATTAAGCAATATAACATACTATGTGAATTACCGAGCTTTAGAAATGCTGGTACTGCAGTTTTGAGATTTGGACGGAGCCAGGCTAGCTGCTTGCCCCTGCTTCTTTACATGAAACTAGGCTAAGCTAACTGCCTTTTTGCTCCCAGTCTGTTGTACAAGCACACACAAGAGTAATAATCAACTCTCATGATTAAAGTGATTAAATGAATTGTCTAAGTATTCCATGAATAAAGCCCAGTTCTTTACAGTAACTTGACATTTATCCACCAAGAGCATAATATTTTAGACTACATCACTTTACAAAGTATTTTTACGTGCTTTATTGTGCATTCAGTCATTTTAACTGTTTAACTGTTAACAGACTCACTTAAGGCAATTGAAATGCCATAAAAAAAAGCCTGAGTGATGGCTCAGAAAAACACGAGTTGAGAAATCAATAATCAATACAACCATATTCTTGAGACCCACCACCACCCACAGAGAGAAGGAAAGATGTTCGGTTTTATTTCCTGCTCACCGGCTGCTGAGATGGTTTCCTACTGTGCTGCTCAGTTCATTCACTATTGGCCCATTCTGCTGCTTCTTATAGACGGTAGCAGTTTACTCACATCATCACTAGTGCCGTTGAGGTTGTAGCCACAGATGACGGCAACGTCAACAGCTTCCATCTCGGTCCAGCCATCTGCTGTGCAGGTTTTGGAGAGATTACCTGTTGATGGAGAAAACAAAGTGGTCACAGCCTCCCAGGCAGCAGATTTCTCCCTTACCTGCTCACCGAGGGCAGGTGAGGTGACATAGGACAGGAAGTCTAACAAAAATAAAATCACAAAACAGGAGGTAAGTCCACAAACCATATTAATACTGGTCTGTTGGGTCACTGCAAGCAAATAGAAAATGTTCTCCTACCCAGTCATTGAATCAATTTCAATTAATAAGACTCGTTTTGTTGGAGAAGACACTGTTTATTTGGAGGGGCACTTGCGCTTTGGTAAGATTTTATGTATAGAAGCTGTTCTGAGATGACCTGTTGTTTGGCTGAAGTCCTTTACTGTATATACAGTACTGTATCTATAATTTACAGAGGAACACCTTTATTAAGGACTGTTCATGACTCTTCACTAAGGTAATAACAGACCTAAAGGAACAACTCCTGGTTGATGAACAAAATAGACACACACACACACACTTACATACATATATAAGTGCTTGTGCCTCTGACTGTAGTTATTTTTGTTGTCAGCTTGATGGATGTCTTGTGCTTCTTTTGTGGATTGTTCCACACTTCCTATACCTCTGTTGTCAAAGCATGTCTATATGCCACGGCTTTTAAAACACCATAGCACTACATTAGAGATAGCCTGCTATTTCTCTGTCAAATAAATACTTTTTGTACTTAATTGCAGGTCAAATGCTGTGTAAAAAATGCACAAGAAATAGCAGATATAGGTTATTCATGGGAGGTATTCGTGTATTATTCATTAGTGGGAGGATTAAAGGTTAATGTACACAGCTTAACCCAAACAAGACCTTAACCACATTGTGACCACCAGCCAGGTTCTGCATGTAAATGAATCCAATTATAACCAAATGTTAACATATGCAGTCAACCAGCTGAGAAGGAAAGCATGCGCAGCAGACACTTGGTATCTAGGAATGCTGCTCTGTCAAAGAAACATGATGTGATTAAAATGTCAGATTTTCCGTATTGTATTTGAGACCCATACCATTTTATTAAATTATATTTATCCATTATACTCTATTTTCTCTTACTTACCCTCAGTCCATTCCCCCTCACCCTACTCCCAACCTAAACCTGAGTCTAGCCTGAACCCTAAACCGATGTCTTAATCCTCAAACAGCAGTTTGAAGGTGTCAGTGTCAGCCACTGGTCCTCACAAAGATACATACATACATGTATAATCACACACCAAGCACACCAAAAGTTTTTCTGAAGTTTTTGGCAGTGGTGCTGTAGGAAGCTTTGGATCCTGATTAAAACACATGAACTAAAGTAGATGTGCAGTCATTTTTTCGGGTTCCTGGACTCAGTAATCATTTATAGTCTGAGTGGTATGCTTTCACTCTTTTCAGCAGATTTATTGCTGCATTGCAGAACAGTAGAGAATGAAGGAAAAGAGGTAGGAAGTGGAAGGACAGAAAAGCACCTGAAAGCAAAGCAGCTTCACCCGATCTCAAGGTTGTTTCATAGACAGACAAGTCATTTTAACAGAATTAATCATTTCACAGGTGTACAGAATGCAAAGGCCTTGCCTCTGTCCACCATAAAATAAAAGCTAATTCTTTGTCTTCACTTGCGCAGCAGCATGACCCTACCTCTTTTCAGCGCTCTGTGCTGCTGGCTTCTTACAACTCTGACTCACAGTAGAGTCTGAACCAAGCTTTGATAATTTAGATAATAAAAAATCCAATAATGACATTTTGGCAATATTTTTTTTCTAAAGTGGCTACTAAGGATAGTTTCTGTGTTTAAAGCAGACACACTATGTGTTTATTACTGTTTTACTGGCAATGTCAACTATTGTAGCACACTTATTCCTTAATAATCCTTGTGACCAAACCATGAAGTCAAGCATAATGTTTAAAACACTCACATCCAGGATGATGTCCTGAATGACGCAGGTCCTGATGCAAGCAGCCATTGTGGCTGACAAAATAAAAAATAATTGGAGCTGCTGCTGGCCTCAGTGCAGAGCAGAGCCATTTGCACAGAATTAGTCAGGTCATGGTCACCTGAGACAACACGTCTTTCCACAACTAAGTCAGTCAAATAAAACTCAGTGCATTCC